CGAATAGCCCAGGGGCGGGCATTACACGCATTCGCCCGGAAGCCTTTTCGAAGACATAGATCATCGGCGCACCTGAATAGATGTAGTGCTCTCCCCGTGGGCTAATCGTCCCCATCGTCGCCTCTGAACACACGGCCAGACCTGGGACAGACGAACATTCTTCAAGAACATGAAACCCTCTGCCAGCCAAACTAAAAAACATTCGAGGGTACCCTCCCCCAGGATGCACAAGAGCACGCAACACCCACGAAGAATATTTAGGGTACCCTCCTCGAACCGACCTCGATCTTACACCTCAAAATCGAGTGGGCTTCTGCGAAACCCGGACGCATTCTGAGAAGGCTGGCCCCCTGTCACTGCCCCTCCGGGTCGCCGCCGACTCGGGGGGGGCACGCTACCCCCCCTGCGCCCTACGCCGAGCGACCATACAGAGAGGCGATACAATAGACACATGTGATGAGACATGCTGCCATGAAACATACACGGGCACGATCGTCGTCTGGCTTTGAGGTTCCTGAGGTGCAACAGGGTTAACGTGGGTCCCCAGGGCCATCGTGGGGCACCTGCTGACAGGCGGGTTTCTCATTTCACGTGCCCGCTGTACCTTCCAGTGGGCGGCGCGCAGACGAGGACAGGGGTAGGGAGGAAGGTCTCTTGGAAGGAGGCTGCTTCTCAGAAGGCGCGGGCCTTACGGCTACGGACTGCGCCTTTGAAGAAGCAGGGGTGCTCCAAAGAAATCTTCCCCCCTCCTCTTGCGGTAAGTTCTTGCCGCGACGACCCCGGCGCTGGTTCCTGACACCGCCTAGATCGTTCAACCCTGAACGACCGGCAACGTCTCGATCGCCAGATCCTTCCGCACTGTCAGGTTCGGGGCCGCTGGAAGCGTTCAACCTTGAACGCCCGCGCTGGGGTCGCGGCCGCGTCGACACGACACGAACCTACCGTACCCCCCCTCTGCGCGTGGCTGCTACCTTGTGGTGGACTTGCTCCCGCGCAGGCTGAGGGGCCCTCCCCTCTTCGTGATGCTGCACCCGGCTTCCCCCTCGCGCGCCGCCGACCGGCCCTGCTCATTGGATGCCGGATTCTTCTGCTCGCGGCCGACGAGTAAGACGAAGCCAGGACGAACCAATCGGAAGCCTGTGAGACCCGGCGGATTTGGAGGATGTCTCGGGCGCCGCCGCCTTCTCAGAGCGTTCCGGAACGCTCTGAGAGCGTTCCCGAGCGCCCTGGAACGGAGCTACCGATTTCGCTTCAGATACCGCCAGCGGTCGCGACCGACTTGCCTTAAAATCGGCCGCGACCCATCGCGACCGATCTTGGCTTGGCCGCGACCGGTCTCGACCGCTCTGGAGTGCCTCTCGGTCGCTGCGGATCGCGACCGAGAGCATATGTAATCCACTCAGACCCCCGACGTCATGCTTGCTTCATGGCGTCGATCCCCAAAGGTCTAGACCCATTCCCCAGGACTGGCTTCTCATCATGAGTCGTTTTCTGACGGCCCCGAGGGCCAGCAAGGACCCCCAGAAGCTGAACACAACGAACAAAACCTCCCGTCGTGATCGTTTCATGACTCGAGCGGTTCTGGAACAATGCTATCCAACAATTGCCGCCTCGCGCGCTGTCGGAATGGGTCTGGCGGAGCTCTCCTCGGGCGGGTGGTACTGGGGGGTGACCGAAATGAGTGGTGAAGAGGAGGGTCCTAAAGGGGCCCTCTGGGGTCCCTTTGGGGCCCCTGCTGCCTCCCACAGGGACCCCAAGTAGTCCTTTAGGGGCCTTCTCTTCACCCCCCATCGAGGCCACCCCCCCACTCACCGAGGCGGGTCTTCAGAAGCCCATCCCCCAATAGTGGAAACTGATCATCCTTTCGACGCCCTCGTTGACGGACTGCGGCCCCACCGATCGTGGAAAATAGCTGTTTCTCCGCGGCACCCGCAGCTCAACAACGACGACGACGACTACGACTACTAGGAAGAGGAGGAGGAGGAGGAGGAGGAGGAGGAGGAGGAGGAGGAGGAGGAGGAGGAAAAGGAGGAGACGAGCGTACAGGGGGGGAGGAAGAGGAGGAGGAGGAGGAACAGGAGGAGGAACAGGAGCAGGAGGAGGAGGGGCGACGTTATACTCCCCGCCGAGAACCACACAGAGGGGGGCGGAATCCTCAAAACTACAGACCTCCTGGGGTCCGGTCGCCGCCCCCCGACTGCCAGCCGCCCGAACTCTGGGGGCCCTCCCTGCCCGGCCCGGCGTGCCCAGACTGGGAAAACCGGGGCCCTCTCCCCGTGGGGGCGCTCCGCCGCCCTCGCACCCTCTCCGCGCCGACGGCGCTCTCTGCTGCCTCCTCGGGAGCTGCTCGAGGTGTCCCTGGCCCTCGTGCCGTCGGGAGCGCGCGGTCAACCCATGTCGACGCTTCGCGAGCGGGGCGCGGCCAGCGAGAGCGGCCGAGGATGGGCCGAAGGGGAAGTATGCAGGGGTAGCCTTGGAAAGTCGCTGATCCTTACTATGCGGATTGAATGTGAGTAGCGGATCGTTTTCTTGGCCGCCACTCTTCTCCGGGCATTGAGCTCCTCCGTCCGCCCTCCCTCCTGGAGGTCCTCTGCTCCCTTTTCGCCCCTTCCCTTGAGCGCTGGCGCTGGGGTAGGGGGGTGGAGGGCTGGCTGCGGCGGCCGATTGAGGCACCGAGTCGCGGGTTGCTGAAGGCTCATCTGGCCCAAGGAGCCCCCAGCTTCTCTCTCCATTTTGGAACCTCTGGAGCCCTCTGGGCCTCGTGAGGGGTGCTCTGGAGGCCGTGAGGCCCTCCTTGGAAATCCTGGGGGCACCTTGGGTCGGGGGAACTTCTAGCAATACCTGACCTGTTGTCATGCCACACTTGATGTTGTTGTTGTTGTTGAACATTATTTATTCGAAAGAATAATTATTGTTGGGCCCCCTGGTGCGCGCCCCCCCTGCGCCGCCTAGGCCGCAGCTACATTTTCATCATTTTCGTGAGGAAGCCTCAGAAAAGAGGGTGTGTACAGGATCCGGTTGTTTTGTTGTAATCCGCTTTCCCTTGCAAAAAACAATAGAAAATGACATTTCTTGTTCTAATATAATCAAATTTCAAGAATCCCTTGCAAAAAATAAGGTAAAGTGGACATTCGCGCGCGCAAGACGAAATCCTTCCAAAACCTTAGTGTTCGCAGCGATTTTAACATAAAAACATCAAAAAACCAATGGTTTTTCAACAAAAAATGTCAAAATCTCATCCCGCGCGCTCTTGCGGATTCGTAGGAAACCCAACACTTTTTAAACATTTCTGTCAAACGGGCTTTTGCGAGCAACTTTTTCGAACTTCTGCGACAACGGTTGCGCACCTGCCAGGGCCATCATCCCTGTCAAATAATACCATGCGGGACACATTCGTTTTTTCTTCGCGCGCGCACGCCGAAATCTCCAAAAACCATTGGGCTTCTTAAGAATTTTAGCACCGCGCATCATAAAATCACACGAATCGCACCGTAGGTCCTCGAAAAACACCTGCACGACTTTTCAAAATTTCTACCCGCGCGCGCTGTCCGAATCCTAAAAAAAACAATGGTTTTCCAACATTTATGTTACATGAGCTCGCGCGAGCTACTTTCGCACGCTCTTGCAACGGGGTTCGCGCGCCTGCCAGGGGCCACAATCCCTTGCGGTTGCGCCATAGGCTTAACAACTTCTGTGGGTGTACGAACGTAGGCTTAACAACTTCTGTGGGTGTGTACTCCACGCCAGTGTAGTAGCCACGGTCGTCCGCAGGCCACGAAGTGAAGTGTCCGAACGTCATAGGGCGGGAAGCTGGGTGTGGGTGGTGGCGAAGAGTCGTGTGGATATTTGGTAGAGCTTGCACTGCCCCCCCACAAAGTGGGAGTATTGGCTGGCGTCGCATGAAAACCCTGGCACTGGTGAGAACACTGAGCGTTCGGGTAAAGTGATTGTTGTTGTTGTTGTTGTTGTTGTTGGGGATGTTGTTGTTGTTGTTGGTGGTGGTGGTGGTGGTGTTTGTTGTTGTTGGTTGTGGTGGTGATGGTGGTGGTGGTGTGGTTGTTTTGTGTATAGATGACTTGCTTCCTCTCTCTTCAATATATGCACGTATGGCGGGTTCAGAGAGACCTGAACCAACTGCCCAAGCCATGGCATGGTAGGCCGATTTCTACTTCCACCAGACGTCCGCCGGCGGAGGCGGCCTCGTTTTACTTCCGCCACCTTTCGCTGGCCTTCCGCCGAGGGAAAGACGGCAACTCCTTCGAACCTCGAAGACGAGGCCATTTCTTGAATGCGCCATTCAACTATGACATGTGTACAGAGACATGGCACGTATATCTGCCTCACTCTCCCTCTTTCTCTCTCTCTCTCTGATGGGGCGTGTGTTGCGCCAATCCTTGAAGCAATCAATGGTAGTGGAGGAGGAAGAAGGGGGGGGAGGAGGAGGGGAGGAGGAGGAGGACGGGAAGGACCAGAGCCGAGAACGGGCAGGATCTGCAGGCCAGTCGGGTAATTATAAGATTGACGACGACGACGAAGCGCAGCGAAATGACCACCGGAGTGCCGCTCCCAGATGAAGGAACCTGTCGTGCCGTTCACAATGAGCATCAACCATCTTGTACGGCCATCGCAGACTGCAAGGCGATTCGTGGTCGGAAGGGAGGTGGGAAGAGTAACTACTCCTGCTCCTCTTGTTTACTATTACATCCTCCTGTTTTTGAATCCGTGATCACCTCTGTAGAACAAAACCCTGCAGGAGGGGGAGAACACGATGAGCCTCGCTTGAAGAGGCAAAGGGCCAGGGAGACGATGATGAAGGTGCAGAGGGAATGGTGGGGAGTCTCGCGTGCTCAAGAGACGGAAGGGAAAAGGAGGAGAAGCCACTTCCACTGATTCGACTGGGTGCACCCATACTAAAAAAACTCAGGGAAAATGCAATCCCCCGAAGCATCCACCGCGTGCCAACGAGCCCTTCAAAGAGAAGCTGACAAGACTGAGCGATCTCAACGGTACATGGCGTTGTTGATGCGGTCGATGAAGTAGGCCGGGTTGGCCGGGAAGGCAACGTAGTTTTTCTCGTACTTCTGGATGATCTGCTTCAGGTTGTCGGGAAGCTCGGGGTCATTCAACATGTCCGAGACCTTCTCCCACGGGCCGTGCGTGCCGATCCAGCCGGATGCGGTCGGGAACATTCCAGGGAACTGGCGGTAGGCCATGATGTTGGCGTTGTTGATGTCCACCTTCCAAGGCTGCCAGGAGGCGCGAACACAATCATAAACCCACGGACGCCTGGGTACGGTACCTCCGCTGGCGTCTAAGAGCGAAGCTTGGGCGTTGCTTGATGAGGTAGGTGGGGGTCAACGGGGGAGCGAAGACACGTTCACCTTTCGTGCCCGTGCGTCGCCCCTTCATGACGCAACGCCCCAGGAGCGCGCCATGGTTGGCGCTGGGAGCACCGCCCGAGGGGTGCCTCTGCGGAGGCGCCGACCGCGGACGGCCGAGAGTTGCTGGTATCGCCGCTGCTGAAGTTTGGCCTGGCAGCCCAAGGGCCCGAAAGTCAGGCTCTCACCCCAGGCCGATGCTTTGCGGTCCCTGCCGGGCGCTGCTCAGCGGGGGAAGGGGCAGTCAACGGGGGGGGGGATGAAGAAGGGTACGCCTCTCGCAAGCCTCGAGGGCCCCTGGAGGCCCCTCCTGGGGCTCCTTTCCTGCAACGCCCGATGCCCCCCCCAACGAATCGCACCCCCCTCCATCACGAATCGCCCGGCCCTGCAGGCCCAGCAGGGGTCCCAGGCACCCGGGCAGGCCCCCTCTCCCTCGGGATCCCGCTGCCGGCATCGCGGGGAGGTCACGACTGGAGCCCCCGACTCCATCCTCTCCCTGCGTCTGCCGCAGGTTCTCACTGTATAGATCCATGTCGATCCACGAGGGCCTCGGGGCCCAAAGCCGAGGCGAAGACGCCTGGTGCGAACAGCAATCAAAGGCAGACGGACCTGCGTCACTTTTGACCACCATGGCCTTCCAAGAGGGAGCCGAGCGATACCAAACAGCCCGTGGGGTGGCCCGTAACGGTCAGGCTGGTTGAAGCTGAGGCGGGTGGTATGACTTGGTTCTTGCTGGGGCAGCAAGCTGCCACAGCGACACTGAGGACACACCCTGGGGCATGTCCCGCGCATGCTTACAATCAGCAGAACACCAAAGCCAGCTTAGTGCTGGCTGTGGTCGATGTGGCGTCCCAGGACGGCCAAATCGACCACAAGCACAACCAATGTGTACATGCTGAGCTCGGTGGGCTCTTCTCCGAAGGGCCCTCCCGACAAATCCGCTTACTTGTGATTGTGGTTCTGCGTTGTGCCAGTTGTTGGCCTGGAAGCGAGAGCGAGGTAGTGCAAGAAAATGGAAAAACAAAGGGGTACTCAGAACTACCACTACTCCCTGGACGTCTCCCGAGGTGCGGTCTGACCAGAATGTGAGGCGACTTCAGCGGTGGCGACGAAGGCCTCGCAGGAGGCCCAGAATGTGGGAAATGAGGCGAGGGTAGCGGTATGGGCACTTTTCCTCCTCTGAAGTATCTCACCCCGTGAGACAAGTGCGACGCCCTGGTTTCTGCTCTTCGCGATAGCGCCTTGTTGCTCCCCCCAAGGTACTCGATGTTGATATAGTCGACCTCCGCCAGTGCGGGCGAGGCCTGCGCGCGCCGGGTGGGGCATGCCCGTGCTCCCACCGATGTGCAGTAGTGAGGCTGCGGGTGGAGCCCCATGCGGGGGCTACGGCCCGCGTGAAGGGCGTGCAGAGCAGGGTTGCGGGGACGCCGTGCAACTGTGCCCTCTGATCCAGACACCCGGGGGGCCACGACATGGGTGCGGGGACGTCATATGGTCGTGGCCACTAAACCCGTAGGTGGAGCCCTCCCATGGGGCCACAATCCGCGCACGAGGGGAGGCCGAACAGCGCGCGGGGACGTCGCGCGGCCGTGCCCATTGAGACAGAATAGTGTGACCCTCCTATGTGGTCACGAACCGCGTGATGGGTGTGCCCAATGGGCGCGGGAGAGCCATGCGGCCGTGGCCACCAAGACTGCAGGTGGACCTCCTTCTGGGTCCGCCGTCCACATGAGAGGCGTGCCGAAGTAGGCGCGGGATCGCCATGCGGTCGCGGCCACTTGAACTGTGGAGATTCATGCGAGGCCACGAAAATTGGAGCGGGATGCTGAACGGCGCGCGGGACGCCATGCGGTCGGGGTGGCCACTGAGATCGCACGGGGAGCTCCATCTGGAGCCACGTTCCGCGTGTACGGGCTGCGGCCGGAGTGGGCGCCGGAACGCCGCGCGGTCGTGGCCACTGAGATCTCAGGTGGGGCCTCGCTTTGCTGCAACGAAAAGTGTGCATGGTGCGCCAAATTGACCGCGGGGACATCACGCGGTCGTGCCCCGCGGAACTGTATGTGGAGCCCAGCCCTGGAGCCACGAAGCGTCTGACGGGCGTGCCAAGGACTCGTGCAAACGCCATGAGGTCGTGGACACTGAGGCCGTATGTGGAAAATCATTTGTCTTGGCCACGAACAATGTGAGTGGTGCGGCGGAATGTGCGCGGGGACGCCGACTGCGAGGGGTATGCAGTGATGGACATCCAGAGGGCAGAGGCAAAGAGACGATGGGAAGGACGAGGACGAGATAGCGGGAGGCCAGAAAGGAGACGCGCGGCGCTGCGGAACCCAAATGAGGATCCAGCACAGGAGGGCTGGGGGAACATCACCACGGATCTTTGACAATAGAATGTCGGCTCCTCTTGGCCCTTAATGGGCCCCTGGACCGTCAACACAACGCCGCGGGATGAAAAGCCCATCCTGGGCAAAGGGGTGTTCCATGCGACGTCTGGGGTCCGGGGCCAACGCCCCACGAAGTCCTCGGGGACACGCATCCACATCGGAGGATATCGATACAGTCAACGGGAAAAATAATGATGCACGACAAAGATACAAGGGCCCCAACGGGACCCAAGAGCGCCACTAGAAGGCCCAAGAGCGCCCCAAGACGGCCTCAGATGGCCCCAACACGGCCCAAAAAGGCACTCAAGACGGCCCCAAGAGGGCCCAAGAGAGCCCCAAGACAGCCTAAGATGGCACCAAGACGGCCCAAGAGGCCCCGCCAGGGAGCTTCCGAGACACCTGTCAAGAGACTCGAACGACGCCGGATTCTCAACGAGCCCTCAGGCAAACGTAAGAGATGCGACAATATGGGCCAGTGAAATGAGCGAAGCGATTGAATAAGGATGCGCGACAAGGATACAAGGGCCTTGGAAGGCCATGCCAACACTTTTCGAGCGGGGCGCGGCCAGCGAACGTGGCCAAAGATGGGCCGAAGGGGAAGGATGCAAGGGCAACATTGTACAATCGCTGATCCCTACTATCCTCGTTCACTGGTCGTTCACTGTGCAGCACAAGGACCCCTTCTGAATCCATGCGGCGTCTGCGCACATGTCACCAGCCGGGTGGGCAGTCGCACAGGCTCAGTTGCAAAAGGGCAGCGGACATCGAGCCCGATGGACAGCCGAGTGGGCTCCATCCGGGCTCCGTTCGGCGGCCGAACAGGCTCGGGCGCAGAATGGGCTCACCAAGGCAACACGAGGTATGGCGACATCAGCTCCAGGCTTGGTGTGGCTGCCGGCGGGCCCAACGGCGTGGGGGCACAGCTCGGGGATGTGCGATGGGGGTCGCCCATCCTCGACATGGGTGCGTCCGGATAGCCCCCACAGGGGCATCCTCGGGAGCCCTTTGCTCTCTTCACGGTCAAATCGTCAAGGGGAAACTCAAACTAGTTAATGAAACCTGCGTAAACATAGAACTTCGGAAACCCGCGCGGATGTCTCTCGGCGCTGAACCACTGGCGGCGCCTCTGGCGCCGCGAGGGGGAGCCGCAACGTCGATCCCAGCAGAACCCCGCGCGGACATGCGAAAACTTACGCACGTGTGTTGGGAAAGCGCTTCTTGATTCTTGGCGATAACAAGCTTCCTGGGGGTGGGGGAACAGGGGGGGCGAGCGGGGGCAGAACGGCACAACGCAACGCCCCCCCCCCCCCACCGCCGTATGGGTCCAGAGCACAGGCTGGTGGTGCCGGACGCACTGGGGGGGAGCGGTACGTTTATGGGGGGGGCACAATGACAACGCGCGTTATGGCCCAGAGAATTGAAAAACGCCCCCTTATCCCGGGGACGAAGCGACACCACCACCACCAGCGCGAGGAGCCAGCGGGCGGTCCTGGTGGTGTCGTCCCACTGCCCCGCCAGAGACACCTCCCATCTCCAGCTCGGGGAGGCACCATGGACCTCTTCGCCGCAGGTAGCACCCCAGGGAACCGCCTGCGAAAAGAGACCCCTGGGAAACCCTGGGCGCGCATGCGGCCCTAATCCGCTCCAAAATCGGTCCCCCGATCCCTTCCGATTGTCCATCCTGGCCAGTTTTTCGAAACGGATCTGGGCGTGGCGACGAGAATCCTCCAGGAGGCCCCACACATACACAGACATATGCAGCACCCCGCAGTTGCGGATAAGAGTGAGGGGGCGGCGACTTCGTCGGCAGTCTGCGAGGCTCTGAAGACGCCCGCCGCATGCGCAGAAAAACTACACAACGAGCCCGCCACAGGCGCCGAAGTATGTTCAAAGCAAATTGGTGGGTCGCGGGTGGGTTGCAGGCCGGGCCGCGGGTGTGACGACAACAAACAACAACCAAACAACAGACAACATACAACACAACAACGCAACAACTACGGAATCCCACTTCAACTACGCACCCAAGGACAATGAAAGACCGTGCGGCCCCCTCACTCGGAATTTTCTGTGTATCTGTAGTCTGCACTTTAATACGCACTATATGTACCAGGGAAGGCCGCCGTTGTATCGACATGGCCTTCGTCCGAGAGACGCCAGCTGCGAAAGAACCCCCTTCCACGACCCACGACGCAATGATATTCTCACGGCTTGAACCTTTGGGCATCTCGGCAGTGGGAAAACCAGCTTTTCACCCCGAGCCGTTTCTTGACGGCCCTGGAGGCCATGCGAGGGCCCCAAAAGGCCGAGAACGTAACAACACCTTCCCTTCGTGACCCTATGTCGCGACGCGGGCCATCTCCCTGACTTCGGACCCGCTGTACTTTGGGCAGTTTTGCATGGGGCGGCAAACGCCGCTCTACGTGTCGAGCTCCTCTGCTGTCCACTTCCGCCTTACAGTCGAGGTTGATTGAAGAGGACACGCGACAGGACACAAGACTCTTCCGAGGGCCACGTTGCCTTACGAATGCAGACGGCATGGGCCGCGAACCACAGGACACAAGTGTCCCCTTGATTTGGCAGGGTCGACCTACTCAAACTCGACTGTACTTTGCTTCTTCGCTTCCGAAACACGTTTGCGGGGAATATCTGGCCTGCGTTTCTCAGGCCGATTCCGCCCTATTGTTTCGCATCGTGGGGTGCATTTCCAATACAAATTGAACATGCTTTTGTGGTATTCGCGATGACGCACCTGACCAGCTCCGCCCCCCACATCCCCCCCCCGTGGTCACCTCACGATTCGCACCAGCGCCGTGTGGCAATTACCCAGCCATTCCCAGGCATTCCCAGACAACACTGGCGTAAAACGAGACATGACCAACCCCTCCTCCGCCCACCCCCTGGTTCCCCCCCCTGGTCACGCCCGTTAACACCAAAGCATTCACAAACAACTGCACCCTGCAAATCGGACAATCAACCTTCGGAACTCCTGTGAGGTCTTCGTCAGGACGATTACGGGCTACGAACCCCGATGAGGGAGCCGATGAAGCGGATGAAGCTGGATTAAACCCAAGCTTAAGTCAGGTTGACCGGGATTGAGCCCTCCTTGATGGGATTGGTCCACACTCAACGGGACTGAGCCGGATTATGGGGATGAGACCAAACTGGGCAAGTCTTCGACAAGGGCTATTCCGGCGCCGATCATGAATCTGACCTCCCACGAATTGCATCCTGACCGACCAAAAAAAAATACGGCTGTTCTGAAGTCGGTCCCGACGTGTCATGCTCTGATTTTTTCAATACGGGACCCCCAGAAGCTCCGATCCTCAGCCCGTGAGCGGCGCTTCATCCCGAGGCGTCTTCTGACAGCCCCGGGCCCGCCGAGGGGCCCCTGGCAGCCGAACGTAGCGGCAAACCTCTGTCTCGGTCTGTGTCACGAGATGCACACGCTGAACATGCCGCGGCCTCGATTTTTTGGGGAGAGGGGGAGATCGTCGACTCCCAGGAAAATATGGGAAACTATGGGAATTGGGGGGGAAGACTAAAACCCAGAAAATATGGAAAAATATGGGGAATCATTTTATTTGTGTATTTATTTGTGTGTCCTTGCGCCCCTTGAAGGGGGAGGGGGCCCTGGGCGTGGCGCCTGCGCCACGAGCGCCGCCGCCGACGCCGCCGCCGCGGCGCCCGCGGCGCTCCGGCGGCTGGAGCGAAGCCAGCCGGCCGCCGCCCCGGCAAGGGCCGCCGCGGCGGCCCCGAGGAGCGCCCCGGGGGCGCAGCCGTCCGCCGCGGGCTCCTGGGTCTCCTCCCCAGACCCCCTCGAGTCCCAAAAAACCGGACGGGCTCTGTTTCTATGAAACACGTGTCGGGGACCCTTGCCGGGCCTCGGGGCCGTCCAAACACGACTCGGGATGAAAAATCGATCCTCGGGAATAGGCCGAGCCTTCCGGGTGTCGACGCTAAAAAAGAAAATCATTACCTCGCGGGTCTGGGATGTTCCTCCTCCTCCTTTTCGCTCGACACCTGCCCTCCTGCTTCTGCTCCTCCTCGCCCTTGTCTCTCTCTCTCTCTCTCTTTCCCTCTCTGTCTCCTCCCCGCTCCTCGCTCCTCTGGCCTCCTCCTCTTCTTCTGGTTCGTGCCTCTTCCTCCTCCTCCTCCTCCTCCTCCTCCTCCTCCTCCTCCTCCTCCTCCTCCTCCTCCTCCCCCCCATCCTCCTCCTTGGAGGCTTCCTTGTGTAGACGAATTCGCAGCTAAAGGACCCAAGAGCCCTTTGGGAGCGGACCTATGATAAGAGGCCCAGGGCATCAGGGATATGGGGTCTTCTCAGCAGATGCATCAAACCAAATCACCCAAATCGATGATCGGGGATTTTAATCAGAGGACGCCTTCATGGTGTCATTCGGGTCAGGAGGCCCTTGTATCCTTGATGATCTGAGAGGCTGTTATGTTTCAGACTCTGACAAACTCTCTTGCATGCTTTCGCCCCCTCCCCTCTCCGCCGCCTTCTCAAGCAGCGCTGGGCGTGCAAGTCAATCCCACTTGCGCGGAATCCAAATTTCCCTTCGGCCTTCGCCACGCCCCACCTCATCCGTTCCCCCCGCCATGCAAGTAAGCTTCGCCCCTGAACAAAAACCTCTCGGGGACGTTCCCAGATCTCCGTAGGTTTGTTTTGGTGTTGAACCTGGGCGATGTTCCCTGAGTTCTGCCACTCCAGGCCGCGATCGGGCCCCGAGACCATCAAACTTGATCCGAGACGCAAAACGATCTCTGGGGAAGGGGTCCAGACCTCTGCAGCGGCGGATTGAACAAACATCACATCGGCGGACGTCTGGTTTCTTGTGGCGAAGGAGCTGCTTGCCTAGATAACCGATGGGGGTGCTACGGGGATAGGGGTTTCTAACTGGATGACAAGGTGGGTGGTATCAGGCCGAGCCTGGCTTACAAATGTGTTGCACATTCCGTAGATGGCGAAAGAGGAATTTGGCGACTCTGCTAACGGAGCTTCGCTGTCTGGCGGATTTGTCCCCCGACAGTCGCTCATATGGAACCTAGAACTCCCTTACGAGCTAGGTCCGGCCGGACATAGCCCACCTTGCCATCATATTCGAAAGCCCGAACCTGGTAGCAACCTCAGCGGTAATCCGTAGTGGAGACGCTCTTGGGGCGAAGGCGTCATTTGGGGACTTTCTTGGGTTGTTGTTTGTTCGAAGCTGTATATTTCTAAAACGCAGGCGTGCGTTGCCCCTGAGGCAACCAACAGAGGGGTCGGCCTTGCCACGCCGAACATGTCGAAACAAGCGCCGGCGACGACGGTGGCGACGACGAGCTGCTTCCGTCGGGGTTCTCTGGCGAAGTCTGGGGCAAGACCTGACGGCCGGGGCCCCCGGCGAGCACCGCCCAGGTCTCCCCGGAGGCAGCCAGCCGAGGGTCCGGCCCTGCCCCGCCGAAGACGTCGGGTCGCGCCCCGCGCGCTCCTGGAAGACATGGCCATCGCAGAGGGCGCGGCGCGCCCCCCAGCCATGCTGGCCTACCTGCACCTGCTGGGGCTCGGCGGAGCACAGCAGGGGGCGCGGAGCGCGCCCCAGCCATGCTCGCCTGCTCCTGCCAGGACGCGGCGAAGCCGGCTCCGCGCCCCCTCTGGTAGTAGTAGTAGTAGTAGTAGTAGTAGTAGTAGTAGTAGTAGTAGTAGTAGTAGTAGTAGTAGTAGTAGTAGTAGTCTTAGTAGTAGTCGTCGTAGTCGTCGTAGTCGTAGTCGTAGTCGTAGTCGTAGTAGTAGTAGTAGTAGTAGTAGTAGTAGTAGTAGTAGTAGTAGTAGCACAAGTAGTAGTAGTAGTAGTAGTAGTAGTAGTAGTAGTAGTAGTAGCAGTAGTAGTAGTAGTAGTAGTAGTAGTAGTAGTAGTAGTAGTAGTAGAAGTAAAGCGTAGTAGTAGTAGTAGTAGTAGTAGTAGTAGTCGTCGTAGTCGTAGTCGTAGTGGTAGTAGTAGTAGTAGCAATAGTAAAAGTACTAGCAAGAGTAGTAATAGTAGTAGTCGTAATAGTAGTAGTAGTCGTAGTAGTAGTAGTAGTAGTAGTAGTAGTAGTAGTAGTAGTGGTAGTAGAAATAGTAGTCGTAGTAGTAGCAGCAGTAGTAGTAGTAGTAGTAGTAGTAGTAGTAGTCGTAGTAGTAGTAGTAGTAGTAGTAGTAATAGTGGTCGTTGTAGTGGCAGTAGTAATAACCGTAGTAATGGTGGTGGTGGTGGTTGTAGTGGTAGTATTAGTCGTGAGCCGTAGTGATAGTATTCGTAAACGTCGTAGCAGAAGTAGTAGGAGTCGCAGTAGTAGTAGTAGTAGTAGCAGTAGTAGTATTAGTAGTAGTAGTAGTAGTAGTAGACACAACAATAAAATTCGGAGAAGGAGCAGCGATTGCAACAGCAATCGTAACATCCGTACCCGTAGTAGGAGTAGCTGTAGTAGTAGTAGTAGTAGTAGTAGTAGCCGTAGTAGTAGTAGTAGTAGTAGTAGTAGTAGTAGTAGTAGTAGTAGTACTAGAAGTAATGGTACTAGAAGAGCTAAACATTATCCCAGTGCGACCCTACCTAGGAGTTGAAGCATCTAGGAACGCAACATCTACATCTACACCGACAGCTACATTTACATCTACACCTGCATCTCCATCTACATCAACATCAACAGCGAGACTCACATGTAAATCTACATCTACACCTGCATCTACATCGATGCTATGCTATGCTATTCTATGCTGCGCTGTGCTGCGCTATGCTATGCAATGCTATGCTATGCTAGGGCATGCTAGACTGCGCTATGTTATGCTATGCTATGCTATGCTCTGCTATGCTATGCTATGCTGCGCTATGCTGCGCTATGCTATGCTATGCTATGATATGCTGCACTATGCTATGCTATGCCATGATATGCTGCGCGATGCTATGCTATGCTAGGCGATGCTATGATATGATATGCTGCGCTATGCTATGCTATGCTATGCGATGCTGCGCTATGCTATGCTATGTTAGGGTATACAACGCTGTGCTATGCTATGATGCGCTATGATATGCTATGCTATGGTATGCTATGCTATGCTGCGCTGCGCTATGCTAAACTATGCTATGCTATGATATGCTGCGCTATGCTATGCTATGCTATGCTATGCTGCGCTATGCTATGCTGCGCTATGCTATGATATGATCTGCTATGATATGATATGATATGCTATGCTAATGCTGCGCTGCGCTAAGCTAAGCTGAGCTAAGCTGAGCTGAGCCAGACTAGGCTAAGCTAAGCTAAGCTAGGCTAAGCTAAGCTAGAATAAAGTAGGCTAAGATGAGATAAGCAACGCTAGGCTAAAGGGACGTAACTGGGAGAACCGCGGGGCGGATCCTGGGGGAACCGCCCGGGGCGAAGCCCACTGCCCGGCCCCTTTAGGCTGTAAAGTAAGAACCCTTCTAGGCAGAGCCTAGGTAGGGAATAATAGTAACAGTAATAGTCGTAGTGGTAGTAGTAGTGGTAATCGCAATAAGAGTAGTAGTAGTCGGAGTAGTAGTAGTAGTAGTAGTAGTAGTAGTAGTAGTAGTAATAGTAGTAGTAGTAGTAGTAGTAGTCTTAGTAGTAGAAGTCGTAGTAGGAGAAGATGTTATCGAAGTGGAAGTAGAAGCATGAATATTCGCGAAATATTAATGGCCGTAATAAAAGAAGCAGCAGTAGTATAAGCAAAAGTCGTAGTAGCCGTAGTGGTAGCAGAAGTAGTAGTAGTAGTAGTAGTAGTTGTTGTTGTAGTGGTAGCGGTAATAATCGTAGTGATAGCCGTAGACAAAGTAGTACTAGGAGTAGGCGGAAGCAGTAGTAGTAGTAGTAGCAGTAGTAGTATCAGTAGTACTAGTAGTAGTAGTAGTAGTAGTAGCAGTAGTTGTAGTAGTAGTAGTAGTAGTAGTAGTCGTGATAGTCATAGTAATCGTAGTAGCAGTATTATTATTCGTCGTAGTAGTAGTAGTAGTAATAGTAGTAGTAGTAGTAGTAGTCGTCGTAGTAGTAGTAGTAGTAGTAGTAAACAGTAGTACCAGCATTAGTAACAGTACTAGCAACATTCGTAGGAGCGGTCGTAGAAGTAGTAGCCATGGCAGTCGTAGGGGTAGTAGAAGACGTAGAAGTAGCAGTAGTAGTGATAGTGAGACTAGCAGTAGCAGTAGAAGCAGTAGTAGTAGTAGTAGTAGTAGTAGTATTAGTCGTAGTAGTAGTAGTAGTAGTAGTAGTAGTAGTAGTAGTAAGAGTATTAGTAGTAGTAGTAGTAGTAGTAATCGTGATCGCAATAGTGGTAATAGTAGTAGTAGTAGTAGTAGTAGTAGTAGTAGTAGTAGTGGTAGTAGTAGTAGTAGTAGTAATAGCGGTCGCAGCAGCAATAGTAGTACTGATATTAGTACTGGTAGTAGCCACATCAGAAGAAGTAGTCGCAAAAGACGTAATGGCCCTCGCCGTAGTAGTCGTAGAAGGAGTAGTAGTAATAGGACTAGTTATGATCTTAAAAATAGTTGTCGTGGTGGTCGTAGTAGTGGTCGTAGTAGTGGTAGTAGTAATAGTAGTAGTAGTAGTAGTAGTAGTAGTAGTAGTAGTAGAGGTAGTAGTAGTAGTAGTAGTAGTAGTAGTAGTAGTGGTAGTAGTAGTAGTAGTAGTAGTCGTCGTGGTCGTCGTTGTAAGACTAGTAGTCGTGGTAGTAGTAGTAGTAGTAGTAGTAGTAGTAGTTGTTGTTGTTGTAGTAGTAATGGTAGTCGTAGTAGTAGTAGTAGTAGTAGTAGTCGTAGTAGTAGTATCAGTAGTAGTAGTAGTAGCAGTAGTAGTAGTAGTAGTAGTCGTACTAGTAGTATGGTAGTAATGGGAACCGTAGTAGTAGTAGTAGTAGTAGTAGTAGTAGTAGTGGTAGTAGTAGTAGTAGTAGTAGTAGTAGCGGTAGTAGTGGCAGTAGTGATAGTAGTCGTAATCGTCGCTCTCGTAAGAAGAATCGTAGTCGCGGTCGCGTTCGCATGCGTAACATTCGTTGTAGTAGTACTGCGCTGGGTCGGCCCAAGTACATGCGGCGCCTTAGATCGGCACTGACATGTGAAAGGGCCGTAACCACAATGTTCTGTCACGCGGGATGTCGCGGCGAGGCAAAAGAAGGGCGCGACGCGCACGCCCGTCAATGCGGGCTTCTTCCTCTCTCTCCTCCTCCTCCTCCTCCTCCTCCTCCTCCTCCTCCTCCTCCTCATCCTCCCAATATTTCCCTCCTCCTCCCCTCCCTCCTCCCTTCCCTCCTCCTCCTCCTTCTGCTCCTCCTCCTCCCGCTCTTCCTCCTCTTCCTCCTTCTCCTCCTCCTCCTCCTCCTCCTCCTCCTCCTCCTCCTCCTCCTCCTCCTCTCGTCTCAGGAGCCCGATGGAATCATCAAAACTGCACGGCGCGGGGGGGGGGGCGATTACGAAATCAGTGTCAACGCGACGCTCAAAAAATCTGGCGGAGGGGGGTGGGCGATTGAAAAAACAGCGTGCCATCTTGATTTTGATTCGTCCGCCCTACCACAAGTAGAATAGGGCCCCCAGGGACCTGGATTTGTTTTATCGAGTCTACCTCCATTAGCGGTATGGGCCTCCGACCTGCCCCCCCTCTGCGCGTGGCCGAACCCATACGACGCGCCACCGTGACTGGCCAAGGCCAGCCTGGGCCATGGCATGGCGTATACGGTTGCGCGCCCTGGCCGAGGCCGGGAAGGTCCGTCCTGGCCGAGGCAACCGACGCCTTCGTCGGGGGAGCGCCCGTGGCCGGAGGGTCGCACCGCATCTGCGAGGCATCCGCGGCGTCAAGGCGGAGAGAATCGGGCTCTGGATCAATGAAGGGGCCCAGAGACACACAAATAGACAGGCACGAGTCCTAAGACTCCCCTATATTCTCCCATGTTTCCTCGGCTGTCGTCCTCCCCTCCACTTCCCAAAACTATGTCACATCTTTTCCTGGGGGTGTCGACGTTTCTCTGCGTCTGTGCTTTTCCCGTCCCGAATCAAGCCGCATCACAGATGCGCCCGCGATGCCCACGACCTTCCGACCCTGTCTGCTCTGGCCCGGCCCCCGTCCCAGACACCCAGCGATGGGACATCGTCTGCCCGCGGGCTGCCCCACAGATCTCGCGCAATATCCATTCCCAGTGGTGTGGCGCGAGCAACCAGCATGCTCGAGGGGGGGGGGCGGCCCGCCCTCTTCCCCCCCCCTACCCCGACCATTGGGTGCCGTACTTGCTCGGTCGCCATCGGAGACGGCCGATCGGCACTCAAAACCGGTCACTGAAAATCGGTCGCGACCGATCGCGTTCGATTCCCGAATCGGTCGAGACAGATCGCGACCGATCGCGATCGATCAGTCGCTGCCGATATTGGAGCAAATCGGTCGGGACCGATCCTGGAACTTGCCCCGGATCCCTTCCAGAACGGCCCCCGGGCGCGAAAACGGACCCCCGGGCCGAGACCACCGTCCATCCGACGGAGGCCTGGGGCTCCGGACCTTCGACGCCATTCACAACGTCGACCCCCCGAGGCCTCGACCAATTCCTCGGCTCCTCGCACCGTGGGTCGCACAGAAGCATACCAAAATTGTTTGTCCTCCCTGGAGGCGCACGTCCGACCCGAAAATCTGGGATACCCATCTTGTAGTATACCGCTTCCCGAGCGGTGTGGCCAGGAAACGCCCGCCAGGACGCATATGCTATACGACTTCTCGGCGCGCGCGTCGCCCCTGGCTGGCGACGCACACACAGCATGCAGCATGAGCATCTTGCGGTGACGCCGCTCCCGAGTCGCCTCCTCACGGCTCCTGGGCCCGACGAGGGCCCCCAAAAGGCCGCACACGGCCAGAGCGACCCCGCGCCGTGATCCCTCCACGGCGCCAGGGGCTCGGGCGCTCGGGCGGCCGCGGCTCCTCCAGCTGCTCCACGAGGGGCGCCGGCTGCGACCGCGCCGCCGGGGCGGCGCGGCGCTGCAGGGCGGGCTCGCCCGTGCCAGGGGCCACGTAGGCGAGGGCAGGGGATGCGAAGCACAGGGCCACCGCCACGGCCGCGCGAGACAGGGCCGCCATGCTGGGCCTCTGGGAAGCCAGCCTCGAAGGTATCCCTATCTCCAGGCTCGGCAAGACGAGGTCGATGGCGATCGCGGGGGTGTGCCCTCAGGAACTGGGGGGGGCATCCTCGAGATCGCCACCGAGGTGAGGTGATGCCAAACATAGGGATAGGGTGATGCTTCAAGCTTGCAGTGAGGGGCCGAGGTTCGCAGCGCGCAGGAGGGGGTGGCGCGCGGGGGGGAGCCTCTGAGAGTAACCAGCTTCGTGCTTATCCATACCTGAGATCTTCGGGATGCGCCCTCGGGAACTGAGGGAATCTCTCAGATCGGCATCAAGATGAGGCGATGCCAATTGTAGGAATAAGGATCTGCTTCAGGCTGGTAAGGTAAGGCTCCCTTGGAGGCGGGGGGGGGCTTCCTTGAGGGCAGGGGGCCTGCTCAGAAGCGCCTCGGTGCCAGGAGGGCTCGCGAGAGACCCCCCCCTCCCGGCCATCTTACAAGTGGCCCCCCCGCGCGCCGACACCTCGTGCGCGCCGCCAGTGCTGGGTCCGAGGGGGTGCTGCTGGCCTCAGGGGAGTGCTTGAGCCAGGACGGCCAAGGGCGTGCGAAGGGGCAGGACCTCGACCCTCTCGCGTGGTTTTGAGCCGAGACCTCTGGGGCTCGACATCGTGGAGAAGCCGTGGCGTCGGGAGTCAGGGGACAACAACGACTGGGAGGAAGGCCCAGGGCGAGGATGGGGGAGGCTGACGAGGAAGGAGGAGGCTGGGAGAGGCCTGCGGGGCTGCTGCCAGAGCATCCGACGTCGTGATCCTCATCTGTCATTGCCAATGCCTGTCCTCGACTTCGGCGCGCGGGGGCATTCCTTGAACCCCTGGGGTGGGATCGAGAGCTCTGGGGCACATGCCGTGACCAGAACACAAAAGGCTGCTCGCCGCATGGTCTCACTTGACAGAACGGCCACACCATATTTTCTGCACAAAGCTTCAACGAGTGCGCCCGCACAGAAATCTGCAGGAACAATTGCTCTGGATACCTGTTGGTACAGCATATTTGACAACCAACGCTTTCATTCACAATTGGAAACGCGCCCGCGCGTGTGGCCGACAAAGCATGATCTGAATTGCTTCAGTTTCATGTCGGCGCACATGTAGGATCAAAGTGAAGAGCTTCGAAAAATATCATCTGACAGGGATGAGGGGCAGGGGGATCGATAAGGGAAAAAGCTGGGATGATATGAATGTTGTGCGGAGTAGGTCCGCGAACCCCAACCTCCTGAGGCTGGTGGAGACACATATTCCTTTTCGCCAAAGATCCACGTGATGCAAGGTATGTGGTGCAAACGATGTGGTTCAATCTCTGTGGGGCGCAAACTACTTGATGCACTGCGCGTGGTGCAGGCTGTGGTGCACTCTATGTGATGCGATCAAGCGAGGGTGGTCGCTGCGAGTTGAAAGCTTCGTGTTGAAGTCTGTGGACAGTGCAACGTGTGTGTGTGTGTGTGCGTGTGTGTGTGTGTGCGTGTGTGTGTGTGTGTGTGTGTTTGTGTGTGTGTGCGTGTGTGTGCGTGTGTGTGTGTGTGTGCGTGTGTGTGTGCGTGTTTGTGTGTGTGTGTGTGGTGCAGGCTGTGCCTTCTCCAAGCGCAACCGGCGTGGTGCGCACCGCGCACGGGGCGCCCACGAGGCGCCCGCAGGGCGCCCACGGGCGGGCGGGCCGCCCGTGGGGCGAAGCCCCGCCGCGCCCACCGAGCGCACGGAGAGCCCACGAGGCGCAGTACGCCCACGGGCGGCCGCAGAAGCGGCCACCGGGCAAACCCCGCCACCCCCCCTCGAACTGTACTCAGGTGGAGCCAGGAAGAGCTCCTGAGTGCAAGGCCTGATTGGGGAAAGAGACGAGGGCCACGAGGGGGCGTGGATGCACGGAGGAGGACGACGTGCGGCAGCACGGGCGCGATGAGTGAATTACGCAATGGGAGGCCATGTTAGGCACGGCCATCGAACGATGGAGCCGCTTGCGTAATCAAAATGGTCGAATCGAACCCCGTTCATGTCCGAGATAAGGCTTTCCTGGTTAACCTATGTTCGCGCCTGGCGCTGCGCGAAGCTCCAAGAGCTCAAAGATTCGCGCTCTCGCGCTATCCCACATGGAGGCTTCTGGAAAATAATGTCACACCAACAGCAGCCCAGACCGCGGATCTCGATCACCAACGCATGCTTACAATTTGTCTAATTAATCGCTCCCTTGGGTGCTCAGTTCAACCGATTCATGCCCGGCATAGACTTCGCTATGCGCCAGCCAGCAAGCACATCAACCCGCGAAGAGACCACGGCCTCGATGATAGTCTAACCTCGAGCGCTCTGCTCTGCCGTCGGCGCGTGAGCAGTGCAGCTGGCAAACACAGCGGCTGAAGGTCAGGAAAATCGGGGCCGGCACGGGCTGCGGTGTGGCCGAGGAGTGCTGGTCGAAGTCTCTCTTTTCTTCTGGGGCCAGACTGGCTGCGGTATGACCGCCCGCATGCAGTGCAGCGCGCGAGCAAGGCAGCTACAGACACGCTATCGCGTTCTGGGCAGAACTGCCCTGCCCATTTCGGGCGCGCGCAAATAATTACCGATGAGTTGTCGATCCGTGGATCTGGTGGGGGGATGCGCCCCCCCGTGCGACGGCGCGGAAAGGGGGGAGGGCAGCAGGGAAGCGGGCAACGAACGTCACCCTCCCAGTGGATATACGATGTGGAACGACCATTCTCGAAATGGGGTGCGATCGAACAGCCCCCACCCTGGGGTGTCTGCCCAAGTTTCCCCCTCGATCATGAGCGGCCTGATATGGTTTGGGGGACACTCGGGGACTGGGAACTATACATCGCCTGCGAAGACCCTTTGAAAGACGACGGCGGCGACGACGACGACGACTGCGACGATGACGCCGACGACCACGGTCACGACCACGACCACGACCACGACCACGACCACGACGCCGACCACGACGCCGACCACGACGCCAACGCCGACAGCGACAACGACGACCACGACCACAACCACAACCACGACCACGACCACGACCACGACGACGACGACGACGACGACAACGACGACGACGACGACGACAGGGGCGGCGGCGACGGCGACGACGACGACCACCACGACGACAACGACGACAACGACTCCCTGGCTCGGGGAAGTCCTCCACGCAGCTCAGGATCTCCGCCCGCCGCGTGCTCGAGACGGGGGCAAGCCTGGGCCGCGGGGGGGTCGCACTCGGCAGGCCCGTGGCGTGACGACGTGCGCACCCCAGAGGGGGTGGCGCGAAGCGGGCGGCCCTCTGAAGGAGGCGGGGACGAGGGGGCTTCTCAGAGGGCCTCCCGCCCTCGCGCCACCCCCCTGCGGGCGCCGCCGAGCGCGACGCTGGCGTCTGACGCCGCGTGGGTTTCTCGCGACCCGACGGTGCGGGTCGTTCCTGTCGGACGGTTATAAGGGGGGGGGTAAACTGGCGGCGTTCAGATTGAAACGCCCGTGCTGAGGTCGGCGAGCCTGCCCAGCGCCACCACTGGGCGCCCCCGCGGGCGTTCTGGGGCCCACAGACCTGCGCGCAAATCTGCCCCCGGCCGGGCTGGGAAGGCATCGCCGGGACTCCCAAATTGAGCTGACGACATACCCATGGGGGGGGGGGGAATGCGCGGAAAGAAAGCACGGGTGCACATTTCAAACACCTTGTGGAGTCGGGGTGGCGCTGGCCCTTCTTCTGGGGCACTTTCCCGCAACCCTCGTTCGCCGTCTGTGAAGTTTGCACCCCTGCTAGCGTCCATCCAACAGAGGCCCACTTCAGGCGCAGAACATGGCGCACATGAAAAAACCAGGCCAAGAGGCCACACCTCCGTCGTCTCGGTCTTTCCGGGTCACCACCAATTCGAACTCTCGATCCTTTCCCTGGGCAAACTTTCCGTCCCGCGCCGCCTTCTGACGAGCCCCTGGGTCCGTGAAGATGGCCGCTGGACGCCGACGATAGCGGGACGAACCCGAAGCGCGATCTACGTAAGGTCGCTAGATCCTGTTCTCCGACGTCGATGTTTCTGCCGCTCCGTGGGGGCCAGGGAGCTCTTCTTCCCTTCACCTCGGGCCCGCTCTCATGATTGTGCCATTGTGCTGTGCTCACGGCGGCAGCAGGGCTGGCGCACCAGCAGTCCTGCACTGGGCGGAAGACGCAGAATCTCGAGCATCGCATTCTTTGACCAACGAACAACACGCACCCATACCCATAGGTGGGACGGAGGGGGCTATGGGTGCGTGTTGTCGGATGGGGGTCCCCGCTCGAAAGGAAGCACCCCCCAGGATCTGACAACCCGCACCCATACCCATAGCCAGTCCTCCTCCCAACATTTCCCCTATGGGTATGGGTGTGTGTTGCTCGTTCGTCATTCTTGCTGGCTACGGCCAGATCTGGAGGAAGATGGCGCCAACCCAGGCATGCACCGCGATTCCTTCGGGCCGCGAGGCCCTCAGATCTAGACATCGTGCAAAACACGCCGATCCGCGGCCCGAGTTCGCCGGGATGAAGCGCTGGCCCCAAACGCTGGCAACCCACACATACGATGTCTTGTTGCTCTGCACGATTGGCCCCCGAAATCCTGGCTGGAGGAGGAGAAGGAGGAGGAGGAGGAGGAGGAGGAGGAGGAGGAGGGGGAGGGGGACGGGGAGGAGGAGGAGGAGGAGGAGGAGGAGGAGGAGGAGGAGGAGGAGGAGGAGGAGGAGGGGGAGGGGGAATGGAGGCCCAATCGCTGCTTGACGGCCTCTGGGCAGGGTGAGGGCCCTGGAGGCCGAGAACGGCGAGCCGTTTCCCCACTTTGAGAGCAACTCACGGAAGCTTTGGGTCATCCCCGTGGCGCCCAACAGCGCGTCCAAAAGCTCGCAAAACAGACGCAACGCATCTCTCTGATTTGGTGCCATTGGATACCAATGGACACTATTTTGGCGCGAATCTCCGACATTGAATACAAGAACTGCAAGACGAACAACACATTCCGTGACGTCCTTTATCTAAGCATGCTTGCCCGACGCGTTGAAAATCAAGGAAAAGCGGATGACGTCGGACGAGAGGGCAGGTCTGGGCGTGGGGGCGCTGCGACGGCGTGAGCTGAGCTCCCTCTCCCAAGGGAACCCGCGGTTGGTGCCGGCGGTGAGCCGCAGCAGCCTCTCCTCGGCGAGGGTGGGACCCAGAGGCCAGCAGGAAAGGGGGGGGGGGATGAGGAGGCAACTCCTCGGAAATCTTCGTCAGAGAAACCGATCACGGGGCCATTGAACCAGAGTAGGCCGGATTGAGCTGGATATTCGACATGAATGAGCGGGAGGGCTGACCCGGACTGAGCGGCATGAAGTCGATTTGGGCCAGCTTCCGCCAAGCGATAGACTAACGCAGATTCAGAATCTAACCTTCCTGGAAGCGCATCCTAAAGAGGCGGGGGGACGAAGGCCCGCACGGATCCGCATGGCCGGCAGCGACCACAACGCCGTGCCCGTCTGACAAAAGCGGTCGGGTGTTGATAGGAAGTGCCCCTGGCCCGAGGTGCCCCCAGGGATGTCCAAGGAGCCCCCCGCTGCCTCCAGGGCACCCGTCACGAGGCCCAGGGGGCCCCAGGGACCCCACAACTGAGCGAACAGCTGGGGCAACCTGGGCCAGGGGCACCTCGAGCAACCCCCCACTCGGTGCCTCACGAGGCCGCAGCCGGCGCCCCCCCTCCAAACGCTAGCGCTCAAGGAAAGCGGGGGAAGGGGGAGCGGGAGACCTCCAGGAGGGAGGGCGGCCAGAGGAGTTCGACGATGACCAGGAGAAGAGAAACGCGGCCAAGAGCACGATCCGCCAGTTACGCTCCCGCCAGTAAGAAGAAATGGAGCGGCCAGGAGGCAGTATCCGCCGCCGCCACCGTTGTCTTCGCCGACCCCCTTCAAGGTCGGCAGCACCGGCCATTCAGGCCTCCCAACCACAAAAATAATATGCGACAACACGCGGAAGGCAAGTGTGTTGTACTGGGGACTATGGCTGGCCATTCCAAAGATACCGTCCGAACAAGCGAACACAAAACGCAAAACTCAGGATTCGAAATACGCGTCCCGACCAATCTGTGGCCCCAAATAAAAACCTGCGCGGATGCATGACGAATGTTGTGCTCAACATCGTCTGTCTCGAACTATTGGGAACGGAGTCTGAAATATCAATCTGACGCTCCACTTGTGGATCTCTGCTCCGCAAGCTTGCGCATCCACCGGCCACATGTCTTCTGATAAACGGAGGCGGACGAACACATGGCTAGCGCCTGAGCCATTGTCATGCGCGAGAACGAATGGGTCGCACAAATTATATCCGCATACGTCTACAATGTGGTTCTACGTCGCGCTGTATGTAACTGCTGTGGGGACCACATGGGGAACATACATACATGGCGTGGACGATACCACACATACACATCCGCGACTCACTCAACAAACTTACATTCTGATACTCAGAGCCCGAACAGAAATTCACGGTACGAACTGCACAGGCATCCAATGGCAGGCTCCCCTCCTCGGAAACATGCCACAACAAAATCGGAATTCATTCTGGCGGATCGGGGAGACGGACATCCTACGAAGAAACGGCTCACTGAATCCGTGGGCCCCGTAGGTCTCGGCCCCCTAACCAATGGCACTGTGTTGTCCCAGTTCCCTTTTTGATGGCCCTGGGGCCGGAAAGCGGGGACAGAAGCAAACATCAATGAGACACTCAGCGACTACAAAGATAAGTCCGCCAGAGGTCCAGCTCCCCGACCAGGGCTAAGGGTTGAAAGACGGCCCATGGATCCATTCTTGGGCGCGTTCCGAACAAACACCCGATAAGGGGTACGGCCGCGGCGATGAGAAGCCGCCACCCACGCGGGCAGCAGACATCCAAAAGCCTCGATTCCTCGAACCTCGAGTGAGGCACCCCAACAAGCCGAAGTCAAATGAACAAACAATTGAAACGGAAGCCCGGCCAGTGCCTGGGGAACGGCGAGGAGCTGCGGCTCCCTCAAAGGCGCGAGCAAGCATGTGGAACTAGGGACTCTGACGTGGCCTGACAAACGCCCCATTCTGACTTGCAAGCTCCTAGGGCCATGTACACCAGCAGATCCTTCGATTTACCTAGCCACCGTGCGCTCCGAACAATGTGTTTGTGGCGACCTGTATTGTGCAACTTGTGGATCAACCTATGTGGTGCGGCCTACGTGGGCCATTCACGTTGAATACACACTTTATATAAAGATATCGAACTTGTGTTGCGCACTGAATGTTTGGACAAAGTGCGATTGTCAACTCCAAAGTTCGCTCAATCCTCCCACTGGCCGCCAGAAGATTCATTTACAAAACGCACGCGGCGGCGATAGCGATGACTGCTTGGCTCTGGCTGGCGCATCGCTGCGGCCGCGCAATCGCGCAGGCTCGCGCGCAAACCGGTAAGCTAGTTTGGCGCGACCGACGCGGCCGCAGCAGTGCTGACCGCTCGGGACTCCCCAACGCGTCTCGCAGGCCGCGCTGACTTGCGGGCACTTCTGTGCGAGTCGGTGGCCCGAGTGGGCACGTTCTCATCGTGACGCCGAGAAAGAAGGAACGATGATGGCAATGGCGATGATGGTCACGGCAACAAAGCCAATGACGGCACCAATGCTGGTCACGCCGATGACGATGATTGTGTCCACGTGTCGGCGATGAGCGTTCTGGACGGATTTCGACATGCGGACGAGACGGCGCAGGCGAACGGCCCGCAATGTGTGACTTGGCAAGGGCCGTGCCCCCCCCCCCCCCCCCTAGCAAGCGCGCGAAACAGCTCGAATGATCTCGACATGCGAGCGCGAGAGGCCGATACACATTCCGGGAACAATAATCATACAGCTCAAATGAGAAGTCGCAAACACGTGCGCAGCATTGGTTGCGCAAACAAATTGCAAAACCATGGGTTGTTCAGAACTGTTTCCAGCGCTCTCAAAGTGCTTGCAACCCAAAAAAACGCATGCGCGCGCCCCGCCGCGCGCGTGGCCTCTGTGTCGTTATGTTGGGCAGCATGCGTTGTCAACTAATGATTGTTGGTGAACGAGCGTGCGCACACAGCATCATTTGACAAGGGTGAAGAGGGTGAATTCATAAGTTTGGCTTGAAAACAAACAACGCGTGGTGTACATGAGTGATGGGGAACAAACTGTAGTCGTAATGTCCAAAATTACAGAGCGACGTCCAAGGGAGCGAATAGATCCGACCCTGTCTTCTACACAAAATGGAACCGATGCATTCCGATACGTTGTGCTGTCCTCCCTGCTGGCCTTGAACTGTCGACCCAAGTGTTCGCGAGACCACCCCACCTTGGCACCCGCGACATGGTTTGCAAAACCCATGCCGCGACGATCGCAATGAACTGCTTGGCACAAGCCGGCGCATCGTCGCGGCCGCGTTAGCGCGCGCAAGTCATCGCGCAGAGTCATCATCCAGTTTGGGTCAGCCGACGCGGCCGCCCACGGCACTTCGGGTCGGTGAATCGGGCGAGCGCGGTATCATGGCGACGTCGACGAATGCGGGCGCGATGGTGATAGTAGCTTTGGTGGTAACGATGATGGTAATGACAGCGGCAAAGCCAATGACGGCACCGATGCCGGTCACGCCGATGACCATGATGGCGTCCACGTGTCGGCGACGAACATGTTGACGGGATGTCGACATGCGCGCGCGACCGGCGCGGGCGAATGGCCCGCACTGTCAATTCGGCAAGGATCGCGCCTGCCCCCAAAGCATGCGAGCAAGGGTGTTCGAGTAAAGCATGCGAACAAGGGTGTTCGAATGATCCCGACACGCGCTCGCGAAATGCCCGCTTGGTCGATTGACGAAAATGTTTGCAAACGCCTGTTTGATGTTTGTGCGAAATCTCCAGGGCGAACGCGCAAATTTTGATAAACAGATGTTGCCGACCATTGGTGTCTCATGGGCTATCCTGAACACCGACTCGGAACCCTCACGAAACATGCGAGGTTCTCTTGTGTCAAAGTAGCTCGTGGCCCGCGAGCACGACGACGCGCGCGCGTGGACGTTGTATCACGTGTCCGCATGGGGCGTTTGAAGCTGTTTTTTCTTTGGCAGAACTGTGCGCGCAATCATTTTTTGAACACGGCCATGGGACGTCGGCGAGCGGATTGCCCAGGATGGCATAAATTCGCGCGTAAGACGAAAAATAGGGGAGCATCGCGCGTAAAATACAACGCCCCAAAAGGAGGCAGGGGCGGAGAGGAGAGGGGGGGCAAGCGGCCATCTTCACGCTTATGTGGAAGATGCTATGCCAACATAGTCAAACAATCTGCGTGGCGCAAGTAACCTTGCACAGATTCAATTTGCCACCTTCACTGTCAACGCGATCGCCCCGCCCGCCGCTAACTCGCGCAACCCCTTGCGCAAAATGGCCGGCTACTCTGGCGCGACCGACGCGGCCGCGGTGGCGCTGACCGACGGGGACTTACCAGCGAGTCTCGCAGGCCGCGCTGGCACGCAAGCAATGCAAAGCGACTCCGCGGCGCTGGCGGACGCGGGTCCATGGCGACGCCGACAACGGCAGACGCGATGACGATAGTAGCGATGATTGCAGCGATGATGACGGAAACGGCGGCAAGGCCAATGACGGTGCCGACGCTCGACGCGCTGGCGACGATGATGGTTCCACCTCGTCGGCGATGATTTTTCGGGGAGGGTTTAGGCGCGCTCGCGCGGCCGACGCGGGCGGGCGGCACGGGGGCGGGTGGCCTGCGCGGCATCATTCGTCAAAGATCGGGCCCCCCAAAGAATCGCTCAATAGGCCGTCGCCTGCATCCAGCATGCGCGCGCGAATGGCCCGCGCGGTCGCATTGGATGAACGTATGAAAAACGGTCTGGTTTCCGCACGGGGATTCGCAAGACCGCGGGCGCAGATTTTGATTGAAACACTCTGTTGCAAAACCATTTGCGTTTATGCGAACAGGAAACCCGAGCTAGAAACCGGTGCAAAACCAAAGGTTGGTTCGAAGATTTCCAGCGCGTTCGCGCGACGTCGCGCGCGCGCCGACGCTGTTCCAACTGTTGCAAAGGACGGCTTGAAATTCATGAGTTGCGATAAACGGGCGCGCGTGCATACTACTATTTGACAAAAAGGGGGGAGGGGGGAGGGGAACGGCCCTGATAAGAAGATACACTGCCACATTTCACAGGAGCGAAGGGGCATAGCCAATTATAAAGCCAATTATAGATTGGACAATCCCCAGGGGAACTGACAATTCGGGAGGAGGTTGGCGGATCTAAGAAGATGTTGTCATGACGGATAAACCAAATGGTGGACGCTATGTTGCGCATTCTTCGCGGAGCAAATCGCGGCGCAATCAATGCGGCGCAATGAAGTCTGTTAAACATGTAACTGTCTATTCCGCTGCTCGTACAACCATCCGAGCCGCCCACCCGCAACTTGGTTTCCAAAACCCATGCGGCGGCGATTACGATAACTGCCTGGCGCTAGCTGGCACATCGCCGCGGCCGCGCTGGCGCGCGCGAGCTCTCGCGCAGAGCGGTCAGCTAGTTTGGCGCGACAGCCGCGGCCGCGGCGGAACTGACCGCTGGGGGCCCCCCAGCACGTCTCGCAGGCAGCGTTGGCGCGCGGGCGCTTTAGAGCGCGTCAGTGACTCTGGCGGGCGTGGCATCGCGGAGGCGTCGACAATGGCGGGCGCGATGATGATCATGGCGATGGAAGTGGCGATGATGACGACGGCGACGGCAAGGCCAATGACGGCGCGAAGGCCGGTCACGCCGATGACGACAATGTTGCCCACGCGTCGGCGATGATGGTGCTGCATGTATTTCGGCACGCGCGCGCGGCCGATGCGCGCGAGTAGCCAGCGCGGAATAAGTTGACAAGTGTCGCGCACCGCCCCCCCCCCACCCCTCCCCCTCCCCCACTACCACCCCAGCAAGCGCGCAAGGGCGTCCGAATAGTACCGACGCCCGCGCGCGCGAGAAGCCTGCGTGGTCCCATTTGACGAACAAGTGGATAACCCGAAGGCTCTCAGAAGAAAGGCGTTCGCGCGGAAGTTTTTTATAAGTGACGATGCAGCGCCATTGGCTGTTTTATGCGATCGGGAACCTCCATCTGAAAATCATAACGGAGCAACTTTTTTTGACGGGTCTGGCCATGCGCGCGCGACGACATGTGCGTGCGAACCGTTTTTTCCCCTGCCATCCTGTAGTATTCGGTCCTCGTTTTGAAGCGAATGCGCCCCACGTTCTCCTTCCCCCTCCCCGCTGCCCCCTCCTCTCACCCCCCATCGCCACCGTCCCCAGCATCGTCGCCGCCACCATCACCATCACCATCACCATTCTCGCCATCAGCTTTGGCACATCCCCCACACGCTTCGCGGCCCCCACACAAAAAGGGGGCTTCACCGAAAGGCCCATTGGCACAGCCCGCACGCGTGCCCGCCGCTCATCCCGGCGCACGCCCACACGCGTCGTGGCCCCATGGGGAGCCCAATCGAAGGTCCCAGTGGCGCAGCCCGCACGCGTACCCGCCACACACGATTCGCGGCCCCGCAGGGAGCTCCAACGAAGGCGCAGTGGCGCAGCCCGCTTGCGTCCCCGCCACCAATTTCGGCACATGCCCACACGTTTCGTGCCCCATAGGCCGCTTCACCGAAGGGCTCAGTGTCGCAACCCGCATCCCTCCGCGCTACCCACTTTGGCACACCCTCACACGTGTCGTGACCAGATAGGGAGGCTCATTCAAGGTCCGAGTGGCGCAGCCCGCATGCGTCTCCGCCACAAAGTTGCGTGGCCACGTTGGGAGCTCCAGGGAAGGTCGCAATGGCGAAGCCCGCATGCGCTTCCGACGCCCGTGTGGGCACATCCTCACACGCTCCGTGGCCTCGTGGGGAGCTCCACCAAAGGTCCCACTGGCGCAGCCCGCATGCGCCCCCGTCACCCACTTCGGCACGCCCTCACAGGTTTCGTGGCCGCATAGGGAATTCCACATAAGGTCCTATTGGCGCAACCCGCATGCGCTCCCGTCGCCCATGCCGGCACACTCGTCAAACTCTTCGAGGCCCAACAAAGAACCCAAGTTGCGCAGCGTGTGCATTGAGATGGAAAGAGAACAATAGGGCAAAATGATGTGTACATTGCTCTGTCCGACCAAGGGCGCTACACCCGGCCTTGGAAGGATGACACCTTTTTTTACGTTGTGCAACCTACGTATGTTGCGCAGACTTCGTGGAACAATATATGTGGTGCAATCCACGTTGTGCAATCTAGGCGGCGGCGCGGCGGCGCCAGCGACAGCAAAGCCGCCAGACCGACAGCCAGGGCCAGACGACGGGCGCCGACGAGGCGGCGACTGGGCGGCGACGAGTACCACGTAGCCGCCAGACCGACAGTCAGGCCCGGTTCCATATTCTACAAATAAGAGCCCATATATGCTAGCATTGTTTGGGGAACTGCTGCATAACATAATCACGACTGTAAGCAACAACGAACGGAAGAACCATTGTGAAGCAGAAGCGAACCAGGAATACACATCAAGTGTACAAACGCAATGTGCACGCATACGTGAAATAGGCCCCGAACGAGCAAAACCACGACCCATAACCCATGACCCAAACTGCAACCTCCTGGCAACAAAACCGCACACCTCGCTGCCATGCCGCGTGATACTCCTGGTAACGGCCCACACATTTGCCGCGACGTTGCGCGCGACGTCGGCGGACGTTAGCGAGGGGCCTACCTCTACACGCGCGACGATCAGAAACGGGTCCTACGCGAGATGACGTAGCGACCTTACGCGGTGGCTTACGCGGGCCGCCCGTGCGGCACTTCACAATGGAGACGAGGGCGCTGACGAGCGACCTTACGCGGGCAGCTTGCGCACCAATCTCGGCGCAAGCGACCCCGTGATCCCTGCGTCGCTCACATGATGTTTCCTGCCTGGCCGCCATCCACAACGCTGTGCACTGTTGCTGGACACCACCCACCAGCCACATCGAACTTCGAGTGCCGCGGGCACGCATGCTGCCCCGCCAGGGAACGCCCGAATGCGGGCGCCGCTTCTAGACGTGCCCACGTTGCTCTGCATTCCGCATGTCTGCTTACCTTTTGTTTGACTATTCTGCGCGTCTGTCTGTAACTACGCCCACAGCGCTGGCGCCGCGCGCTCGTGCCAAGAAGGCCCAGAAATGTCCGGTTCCTCGAACTGTTTTTCTTTGCCTGCAACGTTCCGCAACACCCGCCACAAAGCGGCGGCGCGCGGCGATGCGACTTGCAACTCTGAAGGGCCTCGGGGGCCCAACAAGAACCCCAAACGAGCTTCTCTCTTGGCCCCCCCTGGGAGCTCCTGGGCAGCTCTGGGAAGCCCTGGGAGATCCCGCTCAAAGTGCGAAACACATCCGCATGCGAGTCTGAAGTGTAACCAATTTTCCCGTCGCGGCGCGGCAGCGGCGATCCGCACGCGTGCTCTACTGGGCCAGGCGACGGCAGGCACTAGGCAGCGGACAGCAGGAGAAGAGAACACGGACAGAGCGCGGCCGCGAACAGGAGGAAGAGGAGGGGATCACTCACAGCACGATGGACATCGACTGGAGTGGCCCGGCGGCCTGCCTGCGTCGATGCATCCTGGCAGCAGACGCGGGGCGGCGCCACGGCCACACCCAGGGGCTGCGGCGCAGGCTGCAATGCAGAACGGTGACGAGTCGTACCCGTACTGGAGGGAGATCGGCGAGGGGGACCACACGTAGGGGCATCATCCAGCTGTTGACGGTAGCCCAGGGGCATTAGACTGCTGCCTTGGGGGCACGCGTTCGGCGAGGCCTTGTCGCACACGGGGGCGGCAGAAGCCAGTGCAGCAGCCAGCACAGCCAAGTACACGTCGAAAGCCCGAGTGTGCAGCACATGCAAATCGCAAGTGCGAGTAGAGCGCGGAACAATTATGAAACAAGTGCAAGAACACAGCGAAGTCAGAATGGAGCATCGGAAGTGAGAACAGTGTATGCAGAAATACGAATGTGCATCATAAGTGCAAAAAGCTACGAATGCACACCCAAACGGGTGTCCGAAATTTGAAAAGCATACATACAACCTGGGAGCGCGGCATTGCCCGCCGTCCCATCTTGGCAAGCCCGAGCCCTGCCCAGGTCCACCCAGAGGTCCTAGGCCCCTGGGCCTGGGGCCGCGGACCTGGGTGGTCAGCCCCCCGGGGCGCCCCTGGATGCGCCAAGAGATGACGCACTCCCTTCCTGGACAGACAAACCAACCGCAAGCATGTTTCTCAAACCTGGGCAAGTCTGTAAGTTTTAAATAATCCTCAAGCCCTCTCGGGAGTCCTCTCGGTGGTAATGGGCTGTCTTGCGGACCTCTTCGCAAATATGATAGCCATCTTCCCAAACCGCTAGCAGCCGCGCGAACCAAGTGGTCAGCAACAGAAGAAACAGTTGTCGGCTACTGCAAAGAAGCATGCCAAGCACGAGCGTCAAGAACCCAGACGCACGAAACACGAACGCTCGGAAATGTAATGCACGCAAAGGCGCGCTCCCCCAAAACACCGCATTCAGTGCGATCAACGCTATGGAAAAACAACACGTGGGACCTGTGCGAACACCGATGGGACAATATCCGTACGTTGGAACCTACGTGTATGATGCAACACATGGGGAACATGTTGTAGCACGACAAAACTATGAAAATCGAGTGGTCCCCAGCCTATTCCCACAAGTGCCTCATATTTCTGCAGTAAGGTTCGTGTTCCAAGGCTCCCGTACGTTGACGATACCACTGCCAGACGTCAATTATAGGAACGTGGATTCCAAGCCATATACTGTTCACACAATGTCCTCATGTAGCTGCTGACATCCAGGACCCCTTAAGAACAGTTGGCTGTACTTGAGCCTTACCCGTCGGTCGGACGAAGTAGGTAAACACATGAAGCAGGAAGGCAGACAAAGTAGACTGGGTTCAGCCCCTCCCACATAATCAAAAACTCACAAAAAAAACTGATTGATTCTTGACGTAGGGAGGCGCTTGAAGTAGATTGAGATCTGGGAGCGGATGAAAAACCAAACGTTCGACGACCAACTGGTAAAGCACGTTTCCCTATGCACTTCGACACTGAATTGTTAAACTGATAACGTTCTAATGCTGCCGATGACGGAACCCTTCATGTTCGCACTTCGGTGTCGTTCTGTCCTCCATGAGGTTTCGTGGCTTCACTGATTTCGGGCTGGCCTGCCAATCTACACGGCCAGGAAGTGGCAAACTTCAGACAGAGCGTTTGGTCTCCGCTGAAACGGTTCAAATACTCCCGCCTGTTAGGGGTAATGGTGGAGGAGGCGCACGCCTTGGCCCGACTCCCCGGCTGAGAACAGCCATGACAAACTGCACACCACACATACCAACACATGATGAACATCACTGGAAAGGGAGGCGGGGAGAGAGGCCGCGCGGAGCTCCTTCAACTTCGACGGCGTGCGCTCGCCGTCTTCGTCCTCCGAGCTCTCCTTCCTACTCGCCCCACTCCTTCCCCCTTCTGCCCCATCTTCGTGGTTTGTCCGTCGCCCTCCTGCTCCTCCACCTGCTCCTCCTCTCTCCTCCACCTCGCATCCTTGTTAAGACACGTGTGCATTGCCATTACCCGCCTTGGTAATTTGCTGAATCGTAGTCTCCTGAAGATTGTCCGTATTCGTTATGGTCTTACTATTGCTTGTTTCCTACTCCTTCCTCGTATCATACACCTCCTCGTCCTCCCCATCTCCCTTCATACACCCCGTCTCTGAAGAGCAGTCCTCCCCCTATCGCACCAGCAGGCGTGTCGGTTGGGCAGGCCGGGCGGGCCGCCTGAGACCTCCTCACCATACATGGTCCTGACGTGTGGACATTCCATCGCCCGCGAGGGTAGGGAGTGGCACATGGTCCAACAACTGGCTCCAGGATTAGCGCCACGCACCTTGGTCGTCAAGCCTGCGACCTGCACAAGGATGGAGGGCGGCGCCTCTGCAAATACGCCTGAATGCTTGACAGCAGCTAGCAGGGTCGAGGGCGATTGTTTTTCTCAATGTGGGCCCAATCTTGCGCCGCGAGCATTCGCCCTAACAAGTTACAACAAGGATCGGAGCGGAGTTCTCACTTGAGGCGTTGTCAAATTCATGCCGAACATCTTGATGAATCTATGTAGTAGCTACACGGATGGAAGACGGTTGCTTTTCGAGACGGGGCTCTTGCTCGAGACTGCCGCATACGGAACAACCACGAGTGTATTCTGTGTGCCACAATTGTGCGGGTGGGTGGGCAGCTCTTTTTCAGAACGGGGCTTTCACTGGACCCCGGCTTGAACTGAATGAGCATGCCTCTCCGCCGTGCTCGATAAGTCGCAAGGACGATTCCCGTCAGATCCATCGCAAAACGGGCCGCCCAACTGAAGAGCAGGCCCGCAGGGTGCGCGCCCTTCAGGAAGGAACGCCCTGCAATGAGGAAGAGGGGCCTGCGAGGAGGGGTCTCGGAACGGGAGGGCGTGCTACAGCGTCGTGGGTGCGCCCTGGGCTCGATCTGGTCATCACTCCTCAGCGTCGTGCTTCCTCTTTCCACGTTCCCCCAAGGAGTTCCTCCTCTTGAGCACGGACCGACCGCCCCGGCATCACGAAAGGCCTGCGCGACATGTTCTTGAAGCAAAAAGCTTGTCTAATAACGCAAACAATGTTCTTAGAGGATCAAGCCGATGTTATAAAGACAAGACGGTCTCAACCATACATGTTCTGAGAACATTTCGTGCAACAGCAAAAAATACGATAACATTGTTTGGTGGGCCTATCGGAAGTCGCCACTGCTTGATCCCCCCCCCCTCATAATGCCCCTGTCCATGCTTCTACCCTTTTCGTCTGCTCCTGCTCCTCTCCTCCTCCTCCTCCTGCGCAGACTTCAACCTTCCTGGACAAACCTCCTCCTCATCCTCCTCGTCCTCCCCCCCCCTCTCACATCCCCCACACCCGTTCCTCCCCAGGCGGATGAGGAGGGATGAGGGGAGCAAGCGGGAGGGGAGGAAAAAGATATGTGGAGGACGGATGTTCGCACACTGCTTTCGTCAGCGGCGCGGCTGCGAACTCCGCTCCAGCGAGAAGCCAGATAGGGGCACTGACCAGCGACTTGCCCAGCGAGCAACACGAGGGAGGACGGATGCTCGCACACGCGCCGCGGCGCGGCATCCCGAGGACAGGACGGAGCGGCGGCACCCCGACGCCTCGAACCAGGGAACACTCACAGCTCCGGACCGCCGGCACCCTCCTCGTCTGCACGAAACTCGGGGGGAACGAAGGGGGGGGGGATGGCCACGGGCAGGGTCGAGAATGCGCTCGCGCAGCTGATTTTGCCAGCGCCGCCCGGCGCCGGGAGGCGCCCATGTATCGAGGCATGGGCCCGGCGGCGGGAGGCCGAAGCCCGACACGAAAGTTCCAGAGACCACTAGAGGGTAGTGATTGGAAAAAGGAGGGCCGGCGGAAGCAAACGTTGCCCTCCAAGAGGTGGCAACGTTCCTGGGTTCAGGTCTTCAGGAGTCGCCTGGGGAGGTCTGCGTCTCCGCCGTCCTCGTCGGCGCCGACACGGGGCGCTGCCGCTACCGCACCCAGAATGCTCGCGTCGTGACAGGAGCAGGACAGGAGGTTTTCTCCGTTCTCGGCCTCTGGGGGCCCTCGCTGGGCTCCGGGACCGTGAGAAAAGACTCAGGAGGAAAAACCCTTTCCCGGGGGAGGGGTTGGGTTTTCGGAGGCCGTCGCATGCCTGGGTCCTGGCGTCGCAATTTGCCCACGCCAAGCGTTTTCGCTCGGTTTCGGGCCCGGGGGCCCTCGCGGAGCGATCCGGTCCGACAAGCGGCGCAGAGAGATGGGGTCTGTGAGGCATCCAAAATGGGGTCCGAGTAGATGGAGTCGGAGGGTTGCACCGCGTCACCGATGCATCGACGATGCATCGGCGACGTCGGCGATGCATCGGCGACGTCGGCGTGGAGAAAATCGGTCTCCTCATCGAGCCGCATCGCCGATGCATCGCCGATGCATCGGCGATGCAGCGCAATCCTCGGACCCCATCTGTTCTAGTTCCATTTGGTAGGCCTGGAAAGTGTATGGGGCTCCAGCCGTGCTGATTTACACAATTTTCCTCTTGTCCGCCACCGGGCCACATAACAGGGCATATGTCGCAGGCTTCGTGGGGAGCTTCGAGCGTACCAGAAATCTGGGGACCAAAGCTGGGATCCACGATGGGGGGGCGTGCCCCCTTGGGGTGTATCACAGGGTTCCCCTACTTGTCTGAGCGGCTTCATTTTTCTGTCGGCAAGTCCAGGGGCTGGGGAAGGACAAGTCTTAAGTCTGGCCTGTCCCTCTACTGGAGGCGTGTTCAAAAATACAAAAAAAAACCTCGTCTGGGGATGATTTGCCTATACTTGTTTTGACACGTTGGGTATATGTTTGGGGTCTGTCTCATTCTTCGTCCAAGATCCGCCTGTCGGGGGACACGCCCGACTTGAGACGCGTCGCCTGCGAGGCCCAGCCGGCGCTCCTCTGCCGCCCGCCCGGCCGGCTCGCCGCGCGCCAGCCGCCCGACCTGCGCGGCCAGGCGCCGCAGGCGCCCGCCGTGGCCGGGGGGCCGCGCGGGCCCCCGCAGGTCCAGGGGCGCCAGGTGCCCGCCCGGGCTGCGGATCGCCTCTGCGCGCGGAGAGGGCCGCAGACCGCCCTCGGGTCCGGACACGAAAGATCCCGAGGACGGGGGGGTCTTTCGCTGTCTTCGGCCCTGGAGGGCCCTTGCCGGGCCTCGGGGCCGTCAAAAAACGAGTCGGGATGAAGATCTGGTCCCGGGGAGTGGGTCGAGACCTCCCCAGGATCATTGGATACAATGTTTGTTCGGTCGCGATCGGTAGCGACTGATCGGCACTCCAAATGAGTCGCGACCGATCGCGAACGATCGGTCGCGATCGATTTTGAAGCAAATCGGTTGGGAACGATATTGGAATTTGAAGCTACACAGGTAGCGACCGCTCTTGAACAAATCATCACGTCAAGGGTCTGGTCGACGAATCCGATGGGTATGGCTTGCAGAGGGTGTGGTTTGCAACCAGCATCCCAAGGGGCACCCTTGGGGGCGGGTGGGGACCTCGACAAAGCTCTCCGCCGCA